TGCATGTCACATATGGGGGGAATCTCTCCAAAACAAACGCATAATCCTGAACTGTGACAATGAATCAGTTGTTAACATTGTTAATTCCAAGCGATCACGAATTCCCCGGGCAATGGATCTCCTCCGTCACCTCACACTGCTGACATTAAAGTATAATATATACATTAGGGCAAAGCACATACCAGGAAAATATAATGAAATTGCCGATTCCCTTTCTCGTTTCCAGTTTCAAAGGTTTCGGCTCCTAGCACCTCAAGCAGATGCCATCCCTCAAAAAATTCCAGTCCTTCTGTTGAAAATCTAAAGGCCGACATTGAACATTATATTGATTTGTCTATGGCTGCCTCGACCAAACAGACTTACAGTGCTGGGGAAAAGCGATTTATCTCTTTTGTCAACTTATATCGGCCCCAAGAAGGAAAACATCTCTTACCATAACGTTGAAGAACCTTACCTCTTACCTCTAACGTTGAAGAAACACTCATGAAATTTTCAGCCTATTTAGCCAAAAGCATCAAACATTCATCAATTAAAAACTATCTCGCAGCGGTTCGTCATTTCCATATAAGAAATGGTTTTTCATTAGATTGTCAACAGATGTTGCGCCTCCAATTGGTTCTCCGCGGTATAAAACGGTCACAAGGAGATAAAGTACGAGTGCGTCTGCCAATAACAATCCACCACTTAAAACTTTTCCATATGATGCTAGCACTACCTGTCACAACAAATTTCGACTCAATTATGTCTTGGGCTGCCATAACATTAGCGTTCTTTGGCTTCCTGAGGCTTGGAGAGTTAACATGTAACTCGAAATTCAATGGTGATACTCACCTCATGCCAGAAGACGTTGTCTTCTCCAACGAAGTCCAACCAACTGCTGCTATGTGCATACGAATAAAAGAATCCAAAACTGACCCCTTCCGGGTAGGGCACACAATAACCATTGGAGGAACAAACACACCTCTTTGTCCAGTGTTGGCCATGAAACAATATCTAGCCATAAGACCACAAAAATCAGGTCCTTTGTTTGTAAATGCTGTGGGTAAACCACTTACAAAACAGGCACAACACTAGAAACACGGAAACTGCTTGCTCAAGCTGGGTTCAATGCCTCAAACTTTGCGGGTCATAGTTACAGAATTGGTCATACATTGGACATTAAAGTAAACGATGACCATCACGGGGATCAACTACCCCTTGGACATTAAAGCAAACAATGACCATCACGGGGATCTACTACCCCTTGGACAATCAGGATGCCCATCTCGGGGATCTACTACCCCTTGGGTAAAGTCTAACATGGGGGAACCACGACCCCCTGAGGACATATAATTATATCATAATCATAATGCTGTAATAGTGAGTCTGTGGGGTGACACCATGGCCACAGTTTAAAGTATAATCGGAGCATTTCTCCTCGACAACACTTCTCCCACAACATTGTGTGTGTCATAGTTGTTTTCTTAATTCTCCTAGAATATTTGCTTGACGAATTGGTGCATTAATAATTTTCTATGAGTAAGCCCCCTAGTACTCGTCGGAGTTCTGTCACTTTCTTTGGAAAGCAACGAAAAATCTATACTTATTATTTACTCTAACTCGTGTTTAACACAAACGAAATCCTACCTGAATATCGGATTCTTTCTTATAACGTACTTCGCTATTGTCAGTCATGCAATTCGAATGATATGAAGATTCAACGGCTCTCCAATCATCCGTTCCCCTTTGCTCACTTGGATGGGTAGTGGCACCTGTCGTTAAGATTCGACTGATTCCAAAATCGGCCAGCAACCAATTACCGTCGATGTCTCGCAAGATATTGGATGGTTTCAAATCACGATGCAAAACGGGCTTTGGATGGCCATGGAGATCAGCCAATCCTTTCAAAACTTGCCGAATGATATCTGGCGCAATTGCTACTAGAACTTCCAAACTGTTACCAGCTACAAAATTTGCCAACGTTTCTTCACATAAATCCAAGATTAAAAATAAGTAGTGCTTGTCGCTTTGTTCGTCTAAAAACCAATAATTTACAACATAGTTTGACTCTGTTGCATTGAGTTTGTTCAAAACTTTCTTTTCTTGCTCAGCTAAACCGCTACAAGCATCTCTAGGCAAACGTTTAACAGCCCTTTCGTATCCATCTTTCCCCAATCCTACATAGACTCGAGTGCCATCACTTCCCTTCCCAATGAGGAATTCCTTTGAGCAACAAACGCGCACTCCATTAACATCCTTGATCTCTTCCGGACAGTCTTTTCCATGTTGGAGCAGTTTAATGAACTTTTCTCGATGAACTTTCGAACTCTCTTCCCATTTCCACGATTCTGGGCTCTCTACAAGGAACAAAAAGAGGCAAAGGCCTTAAATAAAACGATTTGGAGACAATCCTATTATGGAAAATACACGAAGTGCAGAAATACGCGAAGAACGTGCATGCCATGCAGAGTGTCCCATACAGGACCGAACACTAGAGAGAGAGAACGGTGGTTGAAAGGGTCCTTCAATTTTTTCAACGCAAAATTGTTTTGATTACCAAACTTCCAAGTGGAAAACGTTCGTTTTTACCAACCACCTTGCGCACAAATCGAAAGGCTTATAGTAAGCCATTTATGCATGGTAATGCGGGGAGCAGGGAAAGTTTGAAGTGTTCCATATGAACAAATTTCCCCAATTATTAGAAGACGACGCAATCTTCCGTTTCGTAAACTGCCAGGATCACCAGTAGGCTAACAACCGGTGTCACCATTGTCGGTATATGCGTCAGATGAATACGAAATGAGATATTCGCCACACAAAACACGCGTTTTGAACGTGTTTCAACGGGCAAACCGAGGCCGCATTTGCATATTTTTGATGTTGTCAAACTAAACCAAAACAATCACAAGCGGGTTATTATGAACTTATGACATACCCATATAGGTCTAAATAATCCGCTGGTGATTGGTTTTGCCTTAGTTTGAAAACATCGAAAATATGCAAAAGCGGCCTCGGTTTGCCCATTCCAGCTGTAACTCTAACCTATACTCATTTAAAAATCAGAACGATGTTAGCATCGTTCTGATTTTTAAATGAGTATAGGTTAGAGTTTCAATTTAGAAGATTTTGAAACAACGCCAAATTTGGGTATTGTTTACACCATGCAGGGGCCCTCGCATAACACATGCACAGAACATACTCGACATCATCTTTAAAAGTCTAGTGAATATCGTTTAGAACTTAAAAAGTTCATTATTTTCTCTGAAACAATCTCAAAAATGCTCCTCAATCGAACACTATTTTATTTTGCATTATTGCGCAGAAAATTTGAAAACAGCAACATCAAGTGCCAGATTGAACGTTTTACTCTCGAAATAACTATAACCTTACTAACCTACATTGTCTTCACCTAAGCATACCTTTAAGTCTTGACAATTCTTCAATTGCATTCGTTGCTAAATCTGTATATCCTTGTTCTTTTGCAATTTCCAATGCTGTTTCATAGTATTCCTTTGCCGTTTGAATCTGCTTATTCAATCTACAAGCACCCCCTAACCCAAGGTATATGTGTGTTTCTTCTCGTTTGTATCCTCGTTCTTTAGCGATCTCCAAGGCGTTTTCATACAGCTGAAATGCCGGTTGAATCTGATTGTTTGATCTATAAGCATATCCTAACTCACGGTATGCCTTTATTTTTGCTTCTTTATCTCCTCGTTCTTTTGCAATTTCCAAGGCTTTTTCAAAGTGCTGAATTGCCGGTTGGATCTGATTGTTCAATCTATAAGCACCTCCTAATCCAAGGTGTACGTGTGTTTCCTCTCTTTTAAATCCTCGTTCTTTTGCAATCTCCAAGGCATTTTTATAGTGCTGAAATGCCATTTGGATCTGATTGTTTGATCTATAAGCATTTCCTAACCCACGATATGCCTTTATTTTTGCTTTTTTATCTCGTCGTTCTATTGCAATTTGCAAGGCGTATTCATAGTGTTCAATTGCGATTTGAATCTGATTGTTTGATGTATAAGCATCTCCTAACTTAAGGAATGCCTTTGTTTTTTCTCGTCCATATCCTCGTTTTACTGCAATTTCCAAAGCATTTTCATGGTGCTGAATTGCCGTTTGAATCTGATTGTTTAATCTATAAGCATCTCCTAACCCAAGGCGTGCCTTCGTTTCCTGTAATCTATATTCTCGTTGTATTGCAATTTCCAAGGCTATTTTATAGTGCTGAATTGCCGTCTGAATCTCATTGTTTAATCTATAAACACTTCCTAATCCACGGTATGCCTTAGTTTCTTCTGGCTTATATCCTCGTTCTATTGCATTTTCCAAGGCTTTTTCATAATGCTGAATTGCTGTTTGAATCTGATTGTTCAATCTGCAAACGTGTCCTAACCCACGATATGCGCGTGTTTCCTCCAATTTATACCCTCGTTCTATTGCAACTTCCAAGGCTTTTTCATAGTGCTGACTTGCCGTTTGAATTTGATTGTTTGATCTATAAGCATTTCCTAAATAAATATTTGCATTGGTTACTTGTTTTTCGTCTTTTAGTTCCTCAGCCAATTTGAAAGCTTCTTGAAACTTTTCAATTGCCAGTTGAAACTGACCGTTCTTTCTAATAGAGCGTCCATTGTTAAAGTACACTTCTAGCAGCTTCTTCTTTTCACGTTCGTTATTGCATGCTTGTGCAATCATATCTAGACAAATACTGTTTGTCTTTGATAGCTGAAAGTATAAAAAAAAGTTGATTGGATTGAAAGCATGTATATACTTCTTTTGGAAAGATTTTTTGCACTTAATTAAATAGAGCGTGGTTGTTCGATACAGCTAAGCCAGATGCCATGATACAGGTGCTCGAGGCTAAGGTCTAAGGGTTAGTTTTTGGTAATCTCACTTGGTGGCTCCCTATAGAGTTAACTAAAATTTTAAGTATTTTCGATAACCTTTCTATTTCAGAACCATCCTCAGAGATACGAAAAACTAGTTTCGAATTCATATTATCTGACACTGCAATCGAGACTGAGATACCCGAAGATGCGAGTTCAAATCCCGCTCGAGCCAACGAATGTTTCGTTGGTCGATTGCAGTGTCAGATTAATATGAAACTAGTTTTTGGGTAACCTTCGCTTTTAACTAATGTTATATTAAATACATTAAGACATGTTGTCTCCTTCGCACGCAGACGTCAGTGTGCTCGCCCATAGTCTCTCCCCTTGGGGGAGAGAGAACCTACGCAACTGGCGGCTGCGAGGGAGACTATAAGACTGGCCAATAAGATCATTTCCTGGAGAGGTCGGACGTGTTTTGCTGTCGATATATACGCAAATAGGAACAGTGTGTGTGTTGCCATGGCAATCATGACGTTTACTAGTCTAATTCCACCATCAAACGACACAATATTTTTTCCTTCGGTAAATTTCTCTGATTTTTTTAAAGATTTATGGTTGATAGAGCAACAACATATTAAAATTTAAAGGAGCTTAATTAACAAGCGTGGGCGCTACGGCCCTGACTATGATGCGCAATTTGTAGTAATTCTTACTTGAGTTTTTGGCTTACATACATACACAATATTTTACTTATTGAATGAAAATAAAAGATATAAGTTCAAAATACGAAAAATTGAGTTCTGAAAATCGGTACGTGTGGGTTTGGTTGTCGCATGAAGCAACTCGCAACTGTCTGCACTATAGTTTTATTACATTCAGCAGATAAAGCAGTACATGTGAATTGATCGTATAGAATACGTTTTGCTGACAGTTCAAAAGTGCCTTGAAGACAGTAATAAAATATCATTTTAGTCTGCGACACTGTTTTGAACATGATGAAGGACAACACTGAACTTACATAATACGTAAAAACACGCTAAAAGATAGATAAAGATACAAAAACGACTTCCCGTGGCCGGCAACTCGAATTTTGAGAGGGAGCGGATGGGGGTAGGGATAGGACACCTTACGTTTCCAACTTACTCCAGAAAATGCTTGTTTGCCATGGACTGCAGTACCTGCATTTTTGAGAGGTGTTTTTGGCTAAATTCACTGAACTTTTGTATATTCTTTCAACATTTTCAAGTTATTGGATCAAATCGTAAATTTTCTCAAAAAAATCATTAAAAGGGTCCTGAGTTTATCAAAATTTCCTTACAAGTGAGAACGCTTCATGTTCAACTTTCAAGATTTTTATCGGGCCCCGACGATTCCACGCGATTCCGCAGCCAGTGACTGAAAGTAATCGAGAAATTTTAGTTGTTGTCTCTGACTGCATAGTGTACTAAAAATAGAAGAAGTCTTTTTGTGGACATTTCTGGGAATGCAACATTTTGCAACACTTTGCAAAAATGGAACATTTATGGAGCATTTTAGTCGGAAGAGGAAAGGTTTGAATGCATTTTACTGCCAAAGTACTGGACTTTTTGCATATGCAGTATGAACATGAATTGAACGAAGTTTAAATCATGCATGAAAAACTAATGCGTGAAAGGTATGAAATAAATCATGCATGGAATGTTAATGAAGAACAAAGTCCAAGTTTTAGTGACTGGCGGTCCAGGAAGGAATTAGTGTAGGTCAAATTGTTTTGTTTAGTAGTTCATATAAAGCATCCTTAAATTTAAATTTACCTGCTATGAATTTAAATTGAATTTTAAGCCTTCCATTTTTGTCTTTTTGCACTCGGTACTTTATATTTAAGAAAACTTTTTCAGTCCATGAAATCTTCATATAATTTTCACAAAAGTTGAGGAATTTTTAGTAAAGTGGCCAATCGAAAATCGAAATTCGTCTACATCTACAGTATAGCTTGTATATATGACGTCATTGCGAAAATAACGTTGATATCTCGTTCTTGTGGGCCCAGGGCCGTACGCAGGATACCAGGGGGGCAGTAGGCCTATATGCCGAAAAAAGTCCCAAATATTCAAAGAATAATTAATAATGACATTCTAAAAATCGTAAATACAGTTTTTCTGGGGGGGGGCTCCCCTTGTACGGCCCTGTGTGTGCCCATTTCACATCGGGCCATCTTGATCGTTACAATTGGCATGCTTCCCTATGACTTTATGAAAGGAATCATTCGTTTCTCGAAATCCGACACGAAAATCATTTTTAGGCACAGCCAACCATGGGCCGGCTGTACGAAGTGATTTTTTAAGCATTCTAAAACTGTCCGTTTGTTGGTATAACCCAAATTAAATTTTATCAAAATAATTTATAATAAAATAGTTTTGTTTTATCAAACATGATGTCCACATTCGTAGTTGTCTGGTGTTTTAAACATTTTTGCAACGGTTGAACTGCCTCTGATCTAAAAAACTTTATGAAGCACGGTATAGCAACCCACACAAACTGTAGTGTGTTTATACAAGTTTTTTCTCAAAGAGGAAAGTTACCCAACTTAAGAAAATAGTCTAAAATGCCCTGCCCTCGACCTATAATATAGTGGCAGGCTAAACTCAGCGGTGAGAAGCACCGCGCTGTAACAATGTACATGTGTGATCTGTGCTTCCTTAGAAAAGGTTAAACTGGCGCTTTGTTTCACTCACATGCATATATCTTCTACATCCTTGACTACCGTCAAGCTGCTTCCTGTTATGATCAGCCTTTTCAGAGTTACCGAGTCGCTCACTCGGTAAGAATTTTCGTTAAAAGTATTTCGTTATAATATTAGTAATTGCATCATTGTTTTTGAGATTGATTTTTTGTTCTCAAAATGCAGAAAATATCGTTTCTAAGCCTAATAGAAAATCAAACATGCTCCCAATAATCTGGACCATTAATATTATGCAATAGAATCATTACTGATTGAATCCTCATTACTGATTCAAGGATTGAATCCTCGCGCACAAATCGATAAATCTAAAGTCTTATAGGTACTGGCCTGAGTGGTCCTTTATTACTTATTGTCAGCGGAAAGATTTGTGTTTATACAAAGTTTGTATACCTGTAGTTTACTTTACATTTTGACTATAGTCATCATGCATCAGTACATTGTTTTGCAAAAAAGTAAACACTATTATTACCTATGTACACTAATAGATCATGTAATATATGCCAGCTTTTTTTAATGTCAACTGCTATTCCTTATTTCAAGATTCAAGAACTAGTTAAGATGACAATCACTTAAACATAACTCAAAACAGATGCATTACATAAACCATACGATATAATTAGGTTATTTTAATTAGTATACCAAATATACTTCTACATTTACATTTATACAATAATCTGGACTATTAATACTTTGCAATTAAATCATTACTGATTGAATCCTCAGTCAATTCTATCAATTCTTTTAAATGTTTGGTTAGTTACATTATATGATGAGTAAACACTTACCAGTCAGCTTGATAGATAATTATTAACTACCACAGCGGCGTTAGCAAACACCAGCTATTTATATTCTGATAATGAACTGTACAGATTACCAAGGAGAAGTATATACGTTGACTACAACAATCACAGTACTTTGTACTAAAACATAAACTTCAGTAAAGTCACGGATATTCGACAAGATGTAATAAGAATAAAAATATGTTGTGTGTGACGTTTAGCAATTCTCAATATGCTTTGAAGCGAGACTTCCGCCTGTATTCTAAAAGCTCACTCACACTCAATGAGTGGAAGATCAATCTGAGCTTCTCTCGTCTGTCGTTGCTGTTTTTGAATAGCTGGATGGCTAGTGTCATACCTCACTATGTGACTACTCAGTACTCATCCTCCAGCTATTCAAAAACAGCATTGATACTCAAAAGAAGCTCAGATTGAACCTCCACTCATTGAGTGTGAGTGAGCTTTTAGAATACGGGCGTTCAATTCTTATTCAAATGATGTCTGACTCTGAGTATCAGGCCCTCGAGTTTTGGAATTCAAATGCGTTCGGCTTGTTAGAATTATAAGGAATATTCTTTTCTTAGCGGATATTGCCATTTCTTGTGGTTTTCCATTTTGCTATAAGTATATAAAAGTAAAACCATAGACAGGCTTGCGCTCGTTAAGAAATGTGATCATTTAAGTAAATGGATGCCTTTACCGATCGAATTGCATGTTTCTGATCTGATCAGGGTCGCAATGCAGTTCTTTAGTAATGAAGAGGGTGACGTCATCACTCAACAGGGTGGAGTACACTTGTGGCAGATATCAAATTGACGTCAATGATGATTCTACATCTACATTTTATTGAGTCGGTAAGATCCTTTGGGGTTATCACACCATTTATTTAAGATTAAAAATGTCTATAGCTATATGCAATATACAAAAACATTATACCATATAAAATACATAAATAAATATAACAGAAAGAGATAAAAAGTGCATCAACGCCACTGGCCATAGCGACGACTATTGCTCTAAAAGCAGCGTCACGATCGCGAGAAAGAAATTGCCCGATATTGAACGTCGTCGTCGTCGATTAATAAACTTCGTTTACAATGAAACTTCCTTTACAAAATGTTCACTGTAAACTGTTTATTTATGTAAAAGCTAATTTCCGAAGCATTAGAATATGCATATCAAAATATTGGACTGTTCAACCATCATTTGTGTTTCACTTATAGATACAATTGAATTGCAAATTAATCACTGAGTGACAGTATTCTTCCCCTGACGAGTAAAATCGTCTGGCATTATGCAGAGTAAAATAATAAAGTAGGGCGCATCTGGGCGCATTGCCACTTAAAGGGTTAAATTATATTTTTGTACCAGTTTTTTTCCTACTCCATGTGTAAAGCAAAATAAAGAAAGACACGGCTATAAGAGAATATATTTACTAGTTTAATCGAGTCAACCGTGGGGAAACTAATTGTTGAATTGTTCTTTGAGAACTTTGCATATTCAAATAATGATTGAACAGTTAAATACTTTGATATGCTTATTATAATTCTTCCATTCTCAGCTACATGTTCCAGTTCAACTTTCCAGCGCAGAACGCGTTATTTGGATGCGCAGTCGAGACCTCGAATTGGTCTCAGTTAGTTTTTATCCATCTGCTGCTTCATGACCAAGTCTGAGATTGCCAGCTACGTCTGTTTCCTTTAATGCTTTGTCTTGGATAATTGTGGGATATTTCATACCACTATTTGACAGTTTTCAACAATAAAATTCCGGATACCGAAAGCGGTGTTGTAACGAGTTGAGCATTGGCGTAGCGCTCATTGGTTAGGGTTAGTTCAAAAACAGGGGCGTAGGAACCGGGGGCCCAGAGGGGCCAGGCCCCCCAAAGTTTTGCCAAGTGCCCTTTTTCCGGGAGTAAAGTGCCCTTTTCTTGCGTGAAAAATGTCATTAAGTTGCATTTTTTGCCCAAAGGGCACTTTTGAAAACTTGAATCTATGTTATTTCCGGAAATTTTTTTTCAATTTCGGGAAAAATATCATATATCTGGAAAAAATTTTGGTATATCCGGAAAATTTTTTTAATATTTAGGAAAACATGTGGTATATCCGGAAAGTTTTTTTGGTATGTCCGGAAAATTTTTTTGAGA